GGCCGCAGGGCTGGCGGGCAGGGTGTCGGCGTGCTGTGTCCCATTCACGGCCGCGGGGCTGGCGGGCAGGGTGTCGGCCTGCTGTTTGTCCAGCCAACAGGGCACTTCTTTCCTCATGTCCGGCAGCTGGGCCACCCCTTGAGGCCTCTGCCCAACCCCTGCTCCCCTCCAGGGCAGATGGAGGGCACAACGCCTTATGAAGCCTCAGGTGCAGGAGGGCAGGGCCCGGCTCAGCTGCCGCCCGGGCAAACGGACTGGCAGTAAACCGAGGCCCGAGTGGTCTGTGGCTTGCGCCAGGCTCATCTCCTGCCCCCACCCACCTCCTGGACCTGCTTGAGGCCCCGCCTCCTTGCTGGCCGCTGAGCTCTGGGCTTTCCCACAGATATCGACGAGTGCCAGTCCTCACCCTGTGCCTACGGGGCCACGTGTGTGGACGAGATCAATGGCTACCGCTGCAGCTGCCCACCCGGCCGGTCTGGGCTGCGCTGTCAGGAAGGTGGGCCATTGAGGGGTACTGGGCAGGGGGTGCTGGGTGGGAGGTGCATGCCAGGTTGGGGGGTGCTGGGCAGGGGCATGCTGGGTGGGAGGTGCATGCTGGGTGTGGGGGCTGTGCTGGGCAGAGGGGGATGTGCTGGGTGTGGGGGGGTACTTGCCAGGTGGGGGAGGCATGCTGGGTGGGAGGTGCATGCTACAGGCCGGGGGGTGCTGGGCAGGGGGCATGCTGGGTGCGAGGTGCATGCTGGGTGTGGGGGGCATGCCGGGCAGGGGCAGGGAGGGGTGTGGCAGGTGACGGGGGCTGTGCTGGGCGAGGCCGTGCTGGTGCTGTATTAGGCAAGGGCTGCACGGGGTGGGGACCTGATCTTCAGGGTTGGCACCCACCCCCGGGCTCCTCCTGCAGTGATCGGGTTCGGGCGGTCCTGCTGGTTCCGGGGCACACCCTTCCCTCATGGGAGCTCCTGGGTGGAGGATTGTAACAGCTGCCACTGCCTGGACGGCCACCAGGACTGCAGCAAGGTGCGAGAGGCCTCTGCCCTCACCCTACCTCATTCGACCCCAGGAGGGTGGGTGCTCTGGCAAGAGCCTCCCCTGACCTGAGTCTGGCCTCACGGCAGCCCTGACGACAGGTCCGTTGGTTATCTGTAATCCTGACCCTCATTGTGTGGGTGCAGAAACTAAGGGTTGCCAGGGCAGGTGGTGGCTCAGACTCCAGAGGCCCCTGCCTGGGCCTCTTCTGGCTCCACCACTCCCTCGCACCCTCCTGGGGGACATCCCTGCTCAGGTGGAAAGTTCAGCCTGCCTCCTCGGGGTCCTGGGGGAGGGGGACGGGCAGGACTCCGTCCCTGGCCCTGATGGCGTGTGTTTCACCCCGTGTGTGTTCGTGGTCCACATCTGTGTCCCGTGTCCCGGTGTGCTGTGTGTGCCCCAGGTGTGGTGTGGGCAGAAGCCTTGCTTGTTGACTGGCCGGCCCGATGCACTGAGTGCCCAGTGCCCGCCAGGGCAGCGGTGCCAGGAGAAGGCCCCAGGCCAGTGCCTGCAGCCGCCCTGCGATGCCTGGGGGGAGTGTGGCACCGAGGAGCCCCTCCCGCCCAGCACACCCTGCCTGCCACGCTCCAGTCACCTGGACAACAACTGTGCTCGTCTCACGCTGCGCTTCGACCACGACCAGGTGCCCCAGGTGAGTCCTCAGGCCCCTAGCCTTTCCGGGGCAGCTGCTCAGACCACCTGACAGCCCCTTCCAGCTGCCTTGAGCCTGCTGGGTGGTGCCTCCACACTGCGGGGTCAGACCAGGCCAGATTGGGGGATGCTTGTGGGTGGGCAGTGGGAGGCACGTGTGGGGCCCAGTGTGCCGGGGAGGGGTGGCCAAGGGCACGATTTCCATCCACCTGGCTGGTCCTGGACCGGAGGTGGCCATGAACCTGCAGCTCTGCTGCTCTGGACATTACTTTCGGGAGTCAAGCATTCCCCCAACCCCCTCGGGCTTAGGATACAGTGAGGCCTGCCCCGCCCCCACGTACCCAGGAAGCTCTGTGCCTGCGGGTGGGTATCTTGGGGCCGCTGCCGCCCAGGAGGCAGCATGGGCGGGAGGGGCTGGCTGGCACCCCAGGCCCGGCTGGCCCCTGCCCTCTGGCGTCGCAGGCCAGGTGGGCCGTGTGGTGCTGGCTGTGGGCGGAGCCCCCGGGCCACTCTCACGGAGCTGGCTCTGCCCAGGGCACCACGGTGGGCACCGTCTGTGCCGGGATCCGCTCCCTCCCGGCCACCAGGGCTGTGGCCCGGGACCGCCTGCTCGTGCTGCTCTGTGACCGGGCACCCTCGGGGCCCAGCGCCGTGGAGGTGGCTGTGGTGAGTGCTAGGGTGGGTGGGGCCGTGCCTGCTCCCTGGGGCCCTGCTCTGTGCGCTCCTGGGCGAGGGGGGGTGCCCAGCCAGGCTCAGCCTGGCATCCGGGGAGACAGAGGCATCCACCCCAGTGTGGTGGTATGGGTGGGGTTTCCAGGGTGTGGGGTGCCTAGTGGGAGCATATGGTCTGGGCAAGTGGAGTGGAGAGGAAAGGCAGCGGGAGTCGAGGCCCCGGGCCGTATCCAGCAGGTGTCCATTCACCGACACCAGCCCACATGGCCAGATGGGAGGGATGCTGGGCTTGGGTTTGGGTTGGGGAGCCAGGGTTTGGGAGGTCACCCCATCCCCTTCTGCAGTGGAGGGAGGGAATGGAAAAGGCAGACGAAGTCCCATGAGGTGAGTGCTGTAGAAGGTGAGGAGGAGTGCGGGGTGGGGGCTGCTGTCCCCCGACCCGATATCCCCAGGACCCCCGGCTCCTCCTGAGCCCCATCGAGCTCCAGCGCAGCCTCCCTGGGGACGCAGTGTTCCTGGGCTGGGCGCGGGGTGGTCACGGGCACCAGGCTGGCTTGGTGTGGCCGGTGGTGGCCCTCAGCGCCGTGCCCCGCCCCAGTCCTTCAGCCCCGCCCGGGACCTGGCTGACGGCAGCCTGATCCAGAGCGCGGCCCACGCCATTGTGACCGCCATCACGCGTCGGGGGAACAGCTCGCTGCTGCTGGCCGTCACTGAGGTCAAGGTGGAGACGGCCGTCGTGGGCGGCTCCTCTGGAGGTGCGCCGGGCGAGGCGGGGGCTGGGAGCACTGAACCCCGCTGTACTGCTGCTAAAGGGTCCCTGGCCCCCTTGAGGCCCTCCCAGGCCTCCCCACGAGCTGGGACCCCCCAAGGGGCACTGACAGCCAGCTAGGCCCGAGCCTCTGCCGTGGGGACGTGCTGGGCTGCAGGCTCCTGGGCCACGTCCTCAGTGGCCGCCCACCCTCCTGCCTGCAGACCTGTTGGTGCCCGTGCTGTGCGGCGTGTTCAGCGTGCTGTGGCTGGCCTGCATCGCCGTCTGCATGTGGTGGACCCGCAAGCGCAGGAAAGAGCGGGAGAGGAGCCGGCTGCCGCGCGAGGAGAGCACCAACAACCAGTGGGCGCCGCTCAACCCCATCCGCAACCCCATCGAGCGGCCGGGCGGTGGGGGCCTGGGCGGCGGCGGGGACCACAAGGATGTGCTCTACCAATGCAAGAACTTCACGCCGCCGCCGCGCAGGGCAGGCGAGGCGCTGCCTGGGCCGGCAGGCCGTGGGAGGGGGGAGGATGAGGACGACGAGGAGCTGGGGCGCAGTGAGGAGGACTCCCTGGAGGCTGAGAAGTTCCTCTCGCACAAATGCACCAAAGACCCGTGCTGCGTGCCGGGGCGGCCAGCGCTCTGGGCCACGTGCCCCAAAGTGGACAACCGCGCGGTCAGGAGCGTCACCGATCCCCGCTTCTCCAGCAAGGAGTAGGGCCACTGCTGCCGTCGGGCCGGAACCCAGCACCACCGCCGGGTGCTGTGGAGGCCAGGCCGGGTGCATAGTGTCTTTATTTTGTGTAAAAAAAAAAGAAAAAACAAAAGCAAAAAACAAATGCTTATTTTCTACGTTTCTTTAACCTTGTATAAATTATTCATAGAGTTGGGTGGCACGCGGCGGAGTATTCTGGGAGAGTTGCTATTTTTGTAAAGTTTCCCTGTGTTTCCCTCACTGGTGGTAGCACAGGGCGGACGGCTGTGTTTTCACCAAATCGTATGTTTGCTGCCAGAGGTTGTACACTGTTTACAGAATCTTCCTTTTTATTTCTCACTTGGGTTTCTCAGTGGTTCCGGGCCCAAGGGCCAGTGTGGCCCGTGGTGGTCAGCAAGGTCCGTGGCGGTTGGCGGGACCCGTGGCTGTCAGTGGCCCTGTGGCGGTTGGCGGGACCCGTGGCGGTTGGCGAGGCCCCGTGGCTGTCAGTGGCCCCGTGGCGGTTGGCGGGACCCGTGGCGGTTGACGAGGCACTGTGGTGGTCAGTGGCCCCATGGTGGTCAGTGGTCCAGTGGCAGTGGGCGTGGCCTGCTCCCCGGGCAGAGCCCTGGAGCCTGCTATTGTCGCTTCCTCTTCCTGGCACACTCGCTCCAGAGATCTCTCAACTGTGCTTTCAGAAGTGCCCTTCCTGCTGCTCTGTCCCCCACGGGGTGGCGACAGTACCGAAGCTCCTGACAAGTGCCTTCACACAGACTCCTCCCTTGCGACTGTCAGCGTCTGCCACGGGCACCAGGCCACTGCCCACCTGCCGGCCCCCGGCCGCCCCTCCTCGTGAAAGTGCATTTTTGTAAATATGTACATATTAAATGAATCACTCTGTATATTTGATTTAATAACTTAAACGTTTTGGCCTCCCTCGTTCCTTGAACACTGCTCCTTTTTTCTTCGGAACTGCGGTAGGGGCAGGGTGGTGCTGGAGAGCTGAGCCATGGGCTGGGTGTCGTGAGAGTGGGACGGTCCTGCTGCCACGTCGCCATTTTGTGGGGGCTGATGAGGCTCAGGAAGAGCTTTCCCGGGAGCACGGGGGTGCTGTGCGTCAACCCTCCCACTGAAACCAGCTAAAAAAAGCTTTATAAAATAGCTTGAAATGGTTTAGCGATGAGATATCAAGATTTTAAGGAATTAGCAGGCCAAAACTTAAGAGCATGAAAAGGCAAGGAAGTACACAGCTCTTGGCGCGGCTGTGGGAGCTGCTTTTGCATCTTACTGATGGAGCAAACTGGCCCATTGTTAGATGGCCTCCAGTGCTGGGTTGTTGAAGGTGAACTCCAAGGCAGCTTGTTACTTCGTGTGCCAATTGTTTACTCTCCTGCGAGGGGGCCAGGCGGTGGACCGAGTTAAGGAACAAAGCCAAGAATAGGATGTCTAAGGAAAAGGAGAAGAAAGAACTGCACGCAGCCTGGGCACAGTGAGTGGGTCTGCATGCTTCCAAAATTGGGTGAGCTGACCAGCTGGTTGCAGCAAAGAGGCTAGTCTGGACCACTGTCCTTGAGGGTGCTGACTGAGGAGCTGGAGAAAGTGGTTCCTCTGGTCACGATTCTCTAGAAAGCTGTGAGAGCGAGCTGCAGCTGTGGCAACACCTAACGAGCCATCTTGGGGAAGCCTGCGTGTGTCCTCCATCATGGAGGGGACAGAAGCAGGAGCTGAGAGAGGCCCTCTTCACAATTGGCTGGACCCCAGAGGCATGTGGCCTCTAGGTGAGGGGGAGCCAGAGGCAAACCCTCCTCCCTCTTTGCTCCCCAGGGGTTGTACCAGGCAGATCAGCTGGAAAAATCTGCCCTTGAGAAGTTATGGTTTACACCAGATTTATGTGGACATGCAGCCACACTCCCACCATGGGGTTGGCCAGAAAAACCTCAATCCTTGAATTTATTTTTAAAAGGTATTTGCTTAACGCGCAGGGCTGTGGGCACCTGGTAGAATGCAAATTACTTTCATTCTAAGCCTCTATAACTTTCAGATAATTTGTCAATGAGCAGACCATAGCCAAAACAACCGTGCACACAGGAAAACCTGGCACCATGAGCAAGAACCGTCGGAAACAGACCTGCACAGGCTTCAGATCTGCACTGGAATGAGCAGACACATTTTGCTTACTGTACTCCAAGAAGGAAGAGACAGGCTTGCAAATACTGACAGATCCATAGAAAACTTCAATAACAACCTAGCAGGTTTAAAAAAGAACCAAGTAGACCTTATAAAAATGAAAAATATACAATCACCAAACTAAAAACTCAAGGAACAGTTTAGCAGCTACTTGTAGACACTACTGAAGAGACAATTAGTGAACTAGAAGAGAGATCAGGAGAAATTACCCAGAATGCAGCCCAGGGAGACAAAAAGATGGAAGATAGGAGGAGAGGTCAGCAGCTGACCGAGGGGTAGTGCGCCTGATGGGGACTGCCCTGAGGCTGATCGGAGCTGGGTCGGGCTTGGGGTGAGCAGAGAGAGCAGGTGTGAGCAAGTGCAGCAAGCAGGACTGGGGACGCTCGAGTCTGTTCTGTAGAAAGTGTGATACTGCTTGCACCTGTCTGCCCATGGAGGATGCCAGCGCGTCCCCCAGATTCTGGGGAAAGCCCCAGAGGTCTGTAACCTCCAGGGGGCCTGGGGCTTCAGGGGCTCACAGGACACAGCCAGGCCTCTGTGATTGCTCGAGGGGGAGGCCAGTGTTGGAGGTGGGAGCAGATGGCACCTGCAGTGCACCTGGCACTGAGTGTGCAGTTGCCTGTGTACGAGTGTGACGTGTGTGCACGTGCATGCATATGTACAGTTGTACATGTCTGTGTATACATGCATGTGTACATGTGTGCCTGCTCCCCTAAGCCTACTGTTCAGTGTCCTGAGGGTCTCAACCTTCTTTCCCGCTGTCTGGGCCCCAGACTCAGGCCCGGCTGAGGGATGGAGATGCTGCCCAGAACCTGGTGCCCGGCTGGGGGACAGGCTGTCCACACCTTCCCAGTGACAGGCTGCTGCCGGCATTCACAGCCAGGGCGAGTGGTCAAGGCTGGGCCCGGCACATTCCGGGCTTCACCGTCTCCTGCTCACGTCCCTCCTGGGCGAGGGGACTCGTCCCCACATCCAGGGCTGCTGACCCAATCAACACTCGACCCACAGCCCCCATGGCTTCCACGGCCCACGGCCCTCATGACACCCACGCCCCCATGGCCCCCACAGCACCCATGGCACCCATGCCCCCACCTGGGCAGCAGAACACGTTGCTCTCCTGTTTGCTGCATGGAGGGTGGCAAGAATCCATGCTGGTGCCCACACAGGAAGTGATGCAAGACTCCGGCATTTGGGCGCTTGGCCGCCTGCTCCACCAGGCACTGCCCTTGGCCCCCCATGGGCCATGTGCCCACCAGCCCACCTGCTCTCTGCAACGCGGCAGGCACCTCCTCCTGACAGCCTGCCCCACCCCACCGCCCTGCCACCACTCCTGCTCCTCTGCCTGTCTCTTCTTCCCGTTTACAGGCTCCCAGGGAGCACAGTGGAGCCCGGTCTGCAGTAGGTTGGGGCTGCACCACAGTCCCGGGGAAGCATCAAGCAAGCCTGAGCCCCCTAAGTGTGATGGCGGGGGAGCAGAGGCTTAGAGCTGTGGGCCTGGGGCAGGTCACAGGAGGCCCGTGGGACCGCAGTGTCTCAGGGTGACTCGCTGGGGTCTAGGGCCCGAGAAAAGATGGTGCTTGGGACCAGCAGCTATCGGGCTGGGCTGGGGGACTTCAGACGCGCTGCAGGCGTTCAGGGCACAGGCAGGGGCCGCCATGGGGGTGGGGCGAGGGGCTGGCGCTCTTGGGCCGAGGTGGCTTGGTAAGGACCAGCGAGAGGGGCTCAGCAGGTGTTGGCCGGGTGGCTCTGGGGATGGGAGTCTGAGTGCAGAGGGAACTTCAGTGGCCACCGAGGCCCCATATGGGTGTTTGGCTGGGGTGTACTGGGAGGGGAGTGAGGCTGAGGTGGCCCTGGGAGTGGACCGGGACCAGCAGTGACTTGCTGACCCGGCCAGTGCAGAGAGACCTTACCACAGCAGTTCCAGGCACAGGGAGGGCAGGTGAGCACTCCTGGGAGACTGCCCCCACCCCAGTTCCCCGTGCAACCCATGTGGTCTGGGCAGGGAGCAGTGACCAAGGCTGGGCAGAGGCTTGACCATGGCCAGCTGAGCTGACCCAGCCTGTGACCGTGTCCTGGATGGACGGTGGCTGCGGGCTTGGGAGCAGCTCAGAGGCCACCAGGAAGAGCCGCCAGCCTGCCCGCTCCATCCTGCCCGCTGCTTCCTCAGTGCTGGCCCTGGGGCCCCACGCCAGCTGGTTCTGCTTGGCGACGGCTCTGCCTGCCGTGTCTCCGAAGAAACCGGGCCCCGGGGACCTGGGAGGACGTCCCTGCAGGAGCCCTGTTGTGGGCAGCCTGGCCCGTTAACCCCTGCAGGCCAGGAGCCCTGTCGTGGCAGCCCGGCCCGTTAACCCCTGCAGGCCGGGAACCCTGTCGTGGCAGCCCGGCCCGTTAACCCCTGCAGGCCGGGAGCCCTGTCGTGGCAGCCCGGCCCGTTAACCCCTGCAGGCCGGGAACCCTGTCGTGGCAGCCCGGCCCGTTAACCCCTGCAGGCCGGGAGCCCTGTCGTGGCAGCCTGGCCCGTTAACCCCTGCAGGCCAGGTGGCAGGCGGGCAGCGCTGGTCTCTCGGCAGCCGCAGGCCCCATTCCAGCTGCCCTGACTTGGCTGGCTGGCACCTTCCTCATCAGGCCCTGGGCGGGGCCGTGGCTCCAAGAATCCGGCTGGGAGGGGCTTGGAGACCACCACACATACAGGGAAACTGAGGCCAGGGAGGACGAGGCCCGCCCTGAAACATTCTCGGTGGTCTCCCGGGCCCTGGGGTGTCTGAATGACTGCTGACGAGGTGTTAAGGATTCTGGTTTCTGGAGACAATGACCATGGGGGGTGGCGTTCCCGGGAG